TTAGTTGGAGGGGGGGGGGGGTCAGCATCACAAGGTTGTCAAATTCCAGAAGTCACCCGTTTAAGGGGACGCTGCCTTTAATGTTGGTTTCTTTGACTGCAATTGTCACTTTAGTGGCTCAGTTTTCGGTTTTATCAAAGAATTCTATAAATATTGCTGAGAAATTTTCGCATCTGATGCTGGGTGCTATGGGGTATTTCCTGTGCTTTTGTTCCTATTTTTATTTCTGTACTTGAAGGGCGTCAAATTTCTCAGTTTCAGTTGGCACAGTACGTCCATCTTTACACTCTTGGTATCAGCCGTCCGTTTGGTGCTTCTGCCTTCTTCACTTCATGGAACAAGAAGGTTGTTACTTTTTGCCATTATTTCATTTTAATAATGTACAATGTTTCAAAACGCGAGTCTTTTTAGTTCAAATATATCAATGTCGTTGCAGGAAGGCGGTAAATTGTACCTCGTGGAGCCATCAGGTCTGTGCTATGAATACAAGGCATGGGCAGTTGGAAAGCACAGGCAAGCAGCAAAGGTAGGGTTTTTCTCGAAAGAAAATAAAAGTCACTTAAACACTTTGTTCCCATTTAGGCTGAGATAGAGAAATTAAAATTGGAAGACTTTGATATGAAAGATCTAGTCAAAGAAGCAGCTCGAATAATCATTGCAATTCGAGATGAGAACAAGGTTTGGAAAATTCTTGAGTTGGTCTAAATTTTTATTTCTCTTTTTTTTCAGGACAAAGATGTCCAAATTGAATTAGGCTGGGTTGGAGAAGCTACGGATGGAAGGCATGAGGTAAGAAATCTCTCTGTAGATCATTTGGGAAATCGTGATGATGGCGCGACCGCACGCGACACGCACGCACACTTCCGGCAAAACACATTTTTGGTTTTCTTCTCTTCTTGGATGATTCTTCTGCTTACGTCTGATAGTATCTGAAACAATGGAAGTGACTAAGCTGAGCTTTAAGATGATGCTTTTTTGTGTAAGCGCTTTATGCTCCTGGGAACACAAGGTCCGCAATCAAATTTGA